GTATATAAAGTAATTCTTCGTTTTTCTCCAGGAACTCCAATCTAGCTCACAAAATTTTTGTTTAACGAGTTAATTAAAATTATAAAATTGTTCGACAATACATCTTTTTCTACTAAAATAGCTATTTATTTCATAAATTGTCTTAACTAAGTCGAGACTAAGAAGGATTCAATTGTCGATGGAAGAAACTACAACTGTCTTGAAATTACTCGTAATTGCTTCTTCAAAATTATTATTATTCAAACACACCAATTTCACAATAATTCTGAAAGTGTTCTATGAATAATGGAAAGACATGAAAACTGAGTGTATAGGAGTTTACCCATTCAAGAATCTGAATCTGACAAAAACAAGATGGTATATTGATTAACAACTTTTTTACGGCTGTTTTAAAAAAATTCTTTTTTTTAAGAAGACGCAACAGTTTGCATACACTGAAAAATATTTTGACTTAAGTATCTAAGAATTTATCAAGAGCAAATGTAACCTTAGTTGTTTCGCAACAATTTTCTCTTCTAGCTGTCAAAAAAAAAAAAAATTCCTAGTACTCGTGAATAATAACTGTGTACACGGTAAATAACGTTTTGACCTGTTTGTTGACTTTAAGCAGAAAATAACAGACAAATATTTTAGGATGACTCATAAGATATCTAAACAATATTATTTATCATTGTGCAAAAAGGGGAAATCTGCAAACATCTATAAACGAAACCCGTATCACATGCATGTATTTTTATTTATTTACGAATTGAGAATTTTAATAGTAGAACTATTATTTATACTTGGTAGATCGTAATCAACTACGAAACCTGATTTATTGAATTGTTGTTCCATCTTGTTTAACTTTTTTCAGTTTATAATTAAAGAAATATTAAAGAAATAAGTATAAATTATTAATTTACACTCCAAAAGTGATATTTTAAAGTAGTGATGCGAAGTTAAATATTTAAGGTTAAAATTTTACGATTTAGAAGTCGATAATGAAGTCAAAAGTGTACGATCTCAAGATAAAACTGAGTATTAGAAAATATACATTAAGATCGAAATCGTGACTGTACCAAAATATGTACACAGTTGTTCAAAATCAATTATGAAGTAAATCTCTTTTTTTTTATTCATGGTTTTGGACAGCTCTCCGATGAATCAATAGTTTTATTTTAGTTATTACTTTTAAGTACTTACTATTTATCTTCCAGATTTACTTAAACAATTTCACGAATCGATCAAAGAAAACAAAGAGATAGTTCAGGACCAGAAAATCAATTGCTTTATAGCCTGTATCTTGGAGAAAACCGGTAGTGTAAGTTGAACAAATATAAAAATCTCTTACTTACTGAATCATAAGCTAAAAAAAAATAAATATAAAACAAATCTGGGGAAATTTATATGACAATGCCATTTATATTACTATCCATGTTTCTGAATGAAGCACTGTTCCTATTACTTTTCTGACTTTTCATTTATCATTTTTCAGAGCCAGAACTTATTGTATGACTTGGATGCATTTGAATGTCAAAATATACTATAAATTAATTTAAAAACAAAAAATTTAACCGTTATTAAAATATTTAATAAATTTCAGTAATGTTTGGAAAAAAATTCATTAAATTTTTTTTTACTTGATCAATTAATGACTTTCGTAATTGTATTGGCAAATGCTTTAGATGAAGCCTAATGGGACCATTGATGAAAAAGTCTTGTTCTCTTCAATACCACCTAACGTACCTAAGGAAATAATTGACAAAGCCACAAAGTGCATACCTCAAGGTAAATCATTTGATTTAATCATCTATTTGATAAATTTCCTTATGTGGATTTGAAAAGGTTTTAAAAAATGAATTACATTAACATATAACCAATCTTTTAAATTTAGGAAATAATTATGATTATTTGGTTGAAATTTTATAGTTTCAGTTGAAACAAACCATTGCGAGATAGTTGGAAACTTTCTTGGTTGCTTGATGAAGATCGAATCATTCCTGGATAAATTCCTGAATTGACACCTCTACAATTGTTGTTTTATTTTATTATGTAAACATTTTTTAATTATTTTTTATGCTTCTTTATTGATGTATGATAAATAAATTAAGCTTATAGAAAAAATTTGTGTATAACATGATTATTGCAGTTAATCGAGTNATTAAAGAAATAAGTATAAATTATTAATTTACACTCCAAAAGTGATATTTTAAAGTAGTGATGCGAAGTTAAATATTTAAGGTTAAAATTTTACGATTTAGAAGTCGATAATGAAGTCAAAAGTGTACGATCTCAAGATAAAACTGAGTATTAGAAAATATACATTAAGATCGAAATCGTGACTGTACCAAAATATGTACACAGTTGTTCAAAATCAATTATGAAGTAAATCTCTTTTTTTTTATTCATGGTTTTGGACAGCTCTCCGATGAATCAATAGTTTTATTTTAGTTATTACTTTTAAGTACTTACTATTTATCTTCCAGATTTACTTAAACAATTTCACGAATCGATCAAAGAAAACAAAGAGATAGTTCAGGACCAGAAAATCAATTGCTTTATAGCCTGTATCTTGGAGAAAACCGGTAGTGTAAGTTGAACAAATATAAAAATCTCTTACTTACTGAATCATAAGCTAAAAAAAAATAAATATAAAACAAATCTGGGGAAATTTATATGACAATGCCATTTATATTACTATCCATGTTTCTGAATGAAGCACTGTTCCTATTACTTTTCTGACTTTTCATTTATCATTTTTCAGAGCCAGAACTTATTGTATGATTTATTTTAATACTATTTCATAAGTCGCTTTATGTTAACATTATCTGATGCATAGTGAGTCAGATTCGTCTTAAGTAAAAAATTAAAAAAAATTTTCACTGAGTACAGGCATACATTGCAACATCTTATTTTAATAAAAAACATTATAACGTTTCGAAAATATTCAACCACTACATAAATAAGCAATATATATTTAATAACACTTTTACATCTATGAGTCTGAGGTAGTGTCATATTCGTTGGGTATTATGGTTTTGGCTAGCTGCTTACCAT